AGCCGTAAAAGCTAGGAAGCTGAAATTTTCGGGAATACAATTCATGCAAAGTTAAACATACTCTTATCCTGATTTCTGGTCACTGACCAACACCCTGAGTCCAATATCAAAGCCTTTATCACAGATGTGAAGCAGTGGTCTCTGGGATCAGAAGTATCCCGTTTCGCACTACTGACTGTACAGCGAAGCATTTTTGATTTATTTGCTGAGCAAATAAGTAAATTCCTGGACAAATAAGGCATTTTTAGATTGACATTAATATTCCGGAAGTGTAATTTGGACAAACCTTTAAGCTGATGATGCTTCGGCTGGGTGTCGTCGTCATAGTCCAATGCTTTCTTCAAGCGTACCAATCCCATTGCAGAGTCAATTGCAAAGTAGGGTGACGGCTCGCGTTCCGGCAAACTCGCGTCCAGAAACAGCTGATAGACCAGTTCACCTTTTGTACGGCGCTTGTCAATCGGCTTGAAACGTTTGGCACGCACATCCACAATGCTGCAAACAATGGTAGGGATTAATCGAATTAGCAGTGTGGTACTCACGGCTTTACTAAAATTTAGCCAGTATTTTTAAGAATAAGTAGCACTGTGATCTTGAAGATGATCGAAGGCTCAGCTCAGCTAGCAGTATTATACAAATAGTCCCTCTACGATTCGTTTATTTGTTTCGATGGTACTGGTAAATGCCAGGAAATCAAATTCGCTGTTAGCTTTCTTCTAAATAACCTTCGAAAGAGAGGACCATCGACAGCCTTGCCAACGAGTGGTTGCTTTTGGCACTTGCTACTATAAGGGGTACTTTCCGAGAGCCTCCACCCTTTATAAATGGCCTCCACCCTATTTTTTTACATTTCTTCTGGTTTCATACACAAGCATATAGCTATGTTCAAGCCCTGTTTTGATCAGTTGGTGCAGTTATGTGACCTAAGTGGTTGTTATTTGCTGGTAAAATTAATAGTGTTTTTTATTATTCAAGCTTCGTCTCAAGAAATATTCATGAATTTTGTATTTCTAGGAGTTCTTCAAGCCGAAAAGCTTCTATTAGGGTCGTTCAGCCCTTTTATAGAAAAAAGGTTCTGGCTACACAAATGGTCAAAGGCTGGCAGCATGCGACTTCATTTAAACGATATCGAGAGATTAGCATGGATAATAGAGCCCAGGCTGGAACGCACCAGGCGAGCCGGTGCGATCATGCGTTTTTGCATCAAACTTTGAGGTACTCTCCATCAGATCTCCCTGCCCTTGCCCCACCCCATGCACTCGCTGTTTCCGCCCCTCCTCTTTCCCCCGCCCTGGACGCCCATCTCCTTGAAGCGGTGAAATTGTGTTGCATTATACAGCACCATTACAAAGCGGACTCGTGAGTACGGTAAGATGAGGTATGTGTAGTTCACGGCCAACCACTGAGCGGTCTATCGCTGCTCAGTGGTGGCAGCGGTTTAACGCTGGATGGGTGCTGGTGGGTTTGG